AATGTGTAGGGAGTCCTCACTAGAGTTTGTCCACGTACCATCCGTTCTCTTGAGATATCCCACCGAGGGGGATGTTTTTGACAGGATCTTGCGTAGCCTTGCGGCTTCTGACGTGTCTTCAATTTCGGAGCAAAATTTTTGCCAAGAGGCCCTTTTTGCTCTCCTTGTTTCTTTTTTGTATAGGGTTAGCTTACTTTTGTAATTTTCCCAGTGCGCTTCCTCGCTGCTGCTTTTGGCTCTGTTAAAGAGAGTCCTGCAGTCTTTCCGGAGGGTATCTATATGTTTAGACCACCAGGGGGGTTTCTTTTTCCCTCTTGGTTTGGTTGAGGGGCAAGCTGCCATGAAGGCCTTATTGCAAGCTTCCGTGAAATTGTCCACAAGACGATTAAGATCGTCTTGTGTGTCCGGGCATTTTGGGGCTAGGGGGGGAGTAATTCCTCCATTTTTGCACTATATGTATCCCAGTTGGCTTTCCTGGGATTAGTATAGTTAGTGGGTATGGTGCTTTCGAGCGATAGGATTGTCTCGATGTACCTGTGGTCGGAGAAGGAGTGGTCCTCTAGGACTCTCCAACTTTTCATTATGTCTGACAGTTTGTGAGACAATAGAGTGAGGTCAATAACCTCTTGACGGTTTTTTATGATGAAAGTGGGGTCATTACCCCGATTACCAATAATTAGGTTGGAGTTTAAGATGAAGCTGAAAAGTGACTCACCCCTTACATTTGTATCCGAGCTCCCCCATTGGGTGTGGTGAGCGTTGGCATCGCAGCCTATTAATAGGCTTGTATCCGACTTCTCGCTGTCGCTGGCTATCTTGCGAACGAGGTCACTGGGAGGATCGTTTTCCTCTTGAGCCATGTAGGACGACACCAGGTTCAGGCGTGTCCCTTGTAGCTCTAGGCTAGCCGCCGTGTTGTCGCCATTGCTAAAATTGTGGAGCAGAAAGATATTTAGGTGCTTTCTTGCTAGTATGCAGGTTCTAATTTTACCTTCAGTTTGGGCTACAATCAGCTTGTAGTCCTTCGTCGCTAATCCACAGACCCTGCCTTCTACCACCCAGGGCTCTTGGATTAGGACTATGTCCCCTCCGCTTGCGACTAAGCGGAGTATTAGGGCAGCGGATGCTGCTTTACAGTGGTGGAGATTTATCTGCAGAAGCCTCAGAGACTTCATTAGAGTCATTCTCCACCACTGCTATATCGGCGTCAGAGTCGTCGAGAATCTCGTCCCGACACAGCGCCTCAAAATCGAGCATCAGCTCCGTCTCCGAGGAGTAGCTCTCCAGGGCCGGCTCCGGCTCCGGGTCTACTTCGGGTGCCTCGATCTCCGAGGCAACGTCCTGCTCAACCGGGTTGTTGACAGAACGCGCCTCGGCCGCTGCATCCGACTTGTAGACCTTCATGGTCACCGAGCTGAACCCGAAGTTGAGCTCTCCCTTTTCTGCCTCGATCGGGGCTAGCGATTCCTTATTTAGGACTACCACTGCCTGATTTGTGGGGCCCTTTGATGCCTCCACTTTGACCACCTTCCAGTCTGAGGTTGGCAGTGTTGGGTTGCATCTCTGCAACATCCTGAGGATCCGCTCGGGCTCCTTAAAAGTGGCCGGCACCCATATGCGAGCCCTTGGTCTACTGGGCACCTCGCTCCAGTCCACAGCGACGAGCTTCGCCCCAGCGTAGACCTCTCCGATTTGCGCCACCGCAGCTTTGTATAGCTTCACGGAGCGCTCATCTTCGCAGGCTACCACTTTAATGCTCCCCTGGAACCATCCCATGTCTTTGCAGACTGGGGGTGGCCCGGGATCCTTCTCGAGAAGCTCGAAGCAGCGGTCGGCCAGTGCCGCTTCCACCCACTTCCATTGGCTTCTGGGTATTTTCCCCTCCGCGCTGCCTTTGTCGAGAACGCCTATCAGCGTCCTCTCCTTGGCAATCTGCGCGAAGGATACGTTTGGTATCACCCTGGAGCGCTTCGCGGCAGGTCCGGGCGTCTCTTGAGAGCGCTGCCTCTTCGGTTGTGCGGCCACCTTCTGTGGCTCCACACTGAAGTTGGGCAACTACACCGAGGCCCATTCCACTTTTTTCAGCCAGTCTGCTGTTGGACTGACTTCCTGGCTGGTGTTCTGCCGACGGAGTATGTGCCCAGCACTCCTCTTTTCGGCATAGCTATATTTCCTGGTTTGGACACTGGTTGATGGTAAGCCATCACCCGCCGCTTCACCGGAAGGTTGAGCAGCCGCAATATTGCTTAGCTGCACTACCATGGTATCAGTTTTGGGTGTTGGCTTTCCACCCATCCCAGGTTTGGGATGGGACTCACCCGGATTCATACCCGCGTCCTTCACCGTGCAGGTCTTTCCTGCGTCTGAGCGGATCGGGCCAGGCCTTTGGGCCGCTGCCTTCTCCCGCTTGGGATTTCTCCCTGCAGGCATTTGGGGAGTGCCTCTCTCGTTTTTGTTTTTGTCGTTGTTTATATTTTCGTTTTTTTCCATATAGTTCCCACGAGCTGCAGAGAAGGGGAACGGTCCACCCCGGCAGAGCTCTGCGTTACCCGGGTAAGGCATAATTAGAGCAGGGGGGTGCCAAGTCCCTGAGCTCTCCGTTCACGACTGGGCTAGTTTTATACCGGGCCCCAAGCCAGGCTGACTCTTAGCACGGGTCGAATGACACCTTAGTCCGGCCCGGTGTGAGGTGAGTGTTGGGGCTGGGATGTGGGTGGGTATTGTGTAGGGATGGGATTGTGTGAGCTACTTAATGAGAGGCGGCACCACAAGCGCATCGTCAGTGTTGCTGCGTCGCGAACTCCCGCTGGCTGTCCGGGACTGCTTATTTCGGTACTCTTCCTCAGAGCCAACTTAGTTGCTACTCTTTGGGATGCCCGCTTATTCGCAGCTGACCTACCCACTAGTGTAGGCCGTTCGCTATCCGCAACCTGCGACCCGTCCGGTGGCCTCAGCTACCTAGGCCCCCTTTGAGCCACCTCAAAGCCCAATAGGATCATCGGATTTGAAAGCTTAATATCTTCCATTCGTTAAGCTGCAGCTTCAAAATGTCTGGGTCAGATTTATAGCTGCATTTGTCAGCTTTTCAGAACTGCAACGTTTTATGCAACCAGATGCAACTTAAGTTATTTGAAAAATAGAAGCACTACCTTTAAAAAAACCATGAACATGAAAAAAAAATAAAAGATTTAAAAAAAAAAAAAACACAAAAATAAACCATAAAAAACCAAAATTCTTTAAAAAATTTAAAGTCCCGAAATTCATACAAAAAAAACGTTATTTTGGGCTACAGCGGAAATGTCGTGTCGACTAGTGTAATTAGAGTCGAAGGCCTCTGGGAGCTCTAGCTGGAAAAACTGGACCGGTCAACTGCTCAATAGTCAACGGTCAACTGGACCGAATGAGCACACTTAATTATTGAAAATTTTAAATCACACACATTTTACCCGAATTTGCGCATAGCAAAAACAGCAGAACTGGCATCTGAGCTTGTTTGTGTTGGCTAAAGATGGACTGATAAAAAATATTGTACATTCAATTACCCTTCGAAGCTAATATTTATGTTGTAACCCTAGATGGTCATCCTTCGTCAAAACGCCTACTTTTTACGTGTAGATCATGTACATCAGATAAGGATGACCATCGAGGGTTAAACTAAGGGGTAAGCTCCCTAGGCACTAACTTCGCTCGAGCGTCAACCCCCGGTTTAGTCACTTCGTTCGCTTACACAACCATTCACACACTGCGCTTTATAAACACATCACAATCGCAAAAAGGGCTTTTAAATTTGGGTATTGGAATATTAAAAAAAAACAAAGTCAAATTCAGATATACTTTTTTGTAAAGTCAAGTCAAAGTTGAAACGAGAAAGAACTTTGTGAGTCGCTTCTGGGGACGCGACTGTACTTACAGTCAGTATATAAATTGTTGAGCTTATGATTTTTTTGAATTTTAGAATTAAAAGAAATTTAACATTTTCCATTTTTTTTGCTACATCTGTTACATCTACATCTTTAATGTATATTCCACATCTAACATGTAGATTATACATGTACCAGATTAGATTCTACATCTCCTCCGCTAGGGTTTGTGCGCGCACTGAACGCGGTAGAGTGTGCGAGCGAGAAAGAGAATGAGTCTCTGGCAGGGGGAGGCGGAGTAAGCAACTGAAAATTAATTTCTTCATTTTGGCTATAATTATGATCCGAACTGATTAAGATTCGGCAGTCTGGTAGATATGGTCATTCTCTACGATACTGCGTTTTTAGTTTTATCGTATCTTTAAAATTGTGCCTGCCACAGATTTTCGTTCTTTGTGGTGGCGGAAAGGGGCGGGCGAAATTTTGAAATACACTTGTAACAGTGTGATGTCACATGAGTCTGGAAACCAAATTTGGTTACCCTAACTTTTATAGTCTCTGAGATCCAGGCGCTCAACAAGACGGACGGACGGACGGACGGACAGACAGACACGGCTATATCGACTCGGCTATTGATGCTGATCAAGAATATATATACTTTATGGGATCGGAAACGTTTCCTTCTCTGCGTTACACACATCCACTTTTACCACAAATCTAATATACCCCTTAACTCTTTTTTGAGTACGGGTATAAATATAACGGATACTTTCAAATGACGTCATTTGTAGCCGAAGTTGTTTATTAACCCGCCTACAATCTAAGTTATAGGTTAATACAATTAAAATTGTATATATTATCTTGCGTGACGCCTGGCCAATCGTTGGAAATTTGTAGGATTAATTTCGAATTTTCTTATTTTTCGCACAGTCAGCTGTATGTTGCCTGTTCGCGTGATGGCAATTCTCCTTCGTTGCTTTTTTTTTGCGCCGAAAAACAAAACGGAAATCATTGTTTATCATATCGCTCTCAATTCATTTCGAGTCCGTTCAAATAATTCACCGAGTCCGATAGTTTTACATAAACTATTTTATTCGCTAATATTTTTTAAGAAACTAAAACCAGACTTTTTTATTTCAGAAATTCAAAATGAAAAGTGTGCTTTTTATATGCAGGTAAGCAATACGTAAGACTTATTAATTTTATACTACAATTTTGGTAAAATGTTTTTAGCGCACAAATAAAGCATCCTTCATACCACAAACTAAATCTGTTAGAGTATATTCCAGAGCACTTTATGAAACATGGCATATTGAGTTATTTTATGAAACGTACTTTTTAAAATGGTTTACTTTTCCTCTGCCTACGCTCTGTTGTTGTTCGCTTCGCTTCTTTCCTCGGCTTTAAAAACTTAAAGAAGTCCTTTTAGAAATCTTGTGTAATGAAGACGTATGCAAATGGGATAGTTATTTTAGTCGTTTTAGACATTATTCATCTCGATCGTCGTGATCCGACCACACATAGGCACCCAAGTGGCCCATGCGACACCAAGCCGAAGCCTGTTACGCGCCCAACGGACCAAGTGGCACTTCCGCATAGTGCGTGGCGCGTGTATCCGAACGATCGCGAACATCCAGGAAAGATAGGGGTTAGTTTAATATTTTAGAAAAAATTAGATCTAACGAGAAGGAACGTGTGAGTCGTTTCTGGGGACACGACTCTACTTATACCCGTACTCAGTCAGTATATACATTATTGAGCTTATGATTTTTTAGAATTTTAGAAAAAAAAAAAAAAATTTTACATTTTACATTTTTTGCTACATCTGCTATCTACATCTACATATACAATGTCTATTCTACATCTAACATGTAGATTGTACATGTTCCATTCATATTCTACATCTCCTCCGCTAGGGGTTGCTCGCGCATTGAACGCGGCAGAGTGTGCGAGCGAGAAGGAAAATGAGTTGCGTTGTCGAGGGCGGGAGGGGGAGGGGAAGCAACTGAAAATTAATTTCTTCATTCTGGCTATAATTATGATCCGATCTGATTCAGATTCGGCAGTCTGGTAGATATGGTCATTCTCTACGATACTGCGTTTTTAGTTTTATCGTATCTTTAAAAATGTGCCTGCTACAGATTTTCGTCTTTTGTGGTGGCGGAAGGGGGCGGGGCGAAATTTTGAAATACACTTGTAGCAGTGGGATATCACATAAGTCTGGAAACCAAATTTGGTTGCCCTAGCTCTTATAGTCTCTGAGATCTAGGCGCTCAACAAGACAGACAGACGGACAGATGGACAGACGGACAGACAGACATGGCTATATCGACTCGGCTATTGATGCTGATCAAGAATATATATACTTTATGGGGTCGGAAACGTTCCTTCTCTGCGTTGCACACATCCACTTTTACCACAAATCTAATATACCCCTCTTTTTTGAGTACGGGTATAAAAATGCAAAGATACCTAAGAAATAGTAGTAATGGGATAGAAATGTAAGTATTAGTGATTAAAGAAGAGGAAGGGAATTAGTGGTGGATATTATATGGTAGAAGGAATTATAATCCGAACATAAGAACTTAAACGGTTCATGCAAGGAATAATTTGATCTACAAAGTGGAAGGAACAAGGAAATAAAGTTGCTCAGGTTGTGAACGAAAATCACACCAAGCTTTTCTCTACGACTAACTAAGAATGGAAGGTTTATTAAAGCAATCTACGAGGGTAAGATGGCGTCCAGCTTAACACCAAGATCATCAACCAAGGTAATTCTGTCAAGAGAATCACCTCAGAGGGTGTAAGGAGCCAATAAGGGGCTGGAGCGATAAAATGTCATTAGTTTGCATTTCCAGGCCTTTAGGTGTAAATTATTTGCACAGAACCATGACTGAAAAATATTGAGATCGGATTGCAAGCGAGAGAGAAATGAAATGTCCTTATACTGGACACAGAGTTTAACATCATCCGCATACATGAGTACTTAAGAGTTTGTTAATACTGAAGGCAGATCATTAACAAAGAGTGTGAATAGTAGTGGGCCTAGATGGCTGCCCTGTGGTACTCCAGAAGTTACCTTAACAGGTGGAGAGAAGGATTTTTTGAAGAGGACTCTTTGAGACCTAGAACGAAGGTAACTAGAAATCCATCTCAAAAGATTAGGCGGAAACCCTAAAAGGTCAAGTTTTTGTGGTAAAAGGGAATGTTTACAGAATCGAATGCTTTACTAAAATCAGTGTAAATGACATCCGTCTGCAAGTTGCCTTGAAAGCCTTTAATGATAAAAGAGGTAAACTCTAATAAAATTGTGGTTGTTGATCGTAGCCTTATAAATCCGTGCTGGGACGGAGACATAAGTGATTTGCATTGATGTTGCAAGTTACAATTTTCTCAAACATTTTAGGAATAGCGGATAACCTATATAATTCTTTGCGTCACACTTGCTCCCTATCTTGTGGAACGGAATGATAAAAGATTCCTTCGAGATCGGGTGAATCGGTGCATGAAGAATTAATGGATAGGGTGAATAGTTTAAGCAGGGGTCCACACAGAGCGTCGTCACAGTACCTGAGTACAAAGCCGGGAACACTCAGGTACTGGTGAATACACTGGCTTAACTAGTCGAAGAACATGAAGCAGTGAGCTTTCATTTAACAAGGGATTGAAAATGCCGCTTGACCTGGGTAAACTGTATGGATACGGCTGACCATAGTAGCTTTCTTGATAATAGGTTGTTTGGAAAAATTGGGCAAAGAGATCGGCAATTGCCTGATCATGGTTTGCGGTCGAATTAAGAAATGGTAGCGAGGATGGATGTGCGGACGTTCTACGATTACTATTAACGAAGCTGTTAAACTGTTGACGGTCCTGTAAAAAGTGTATCCTGCATAGAGATAGGTAATTTTTATAGCATTAAGCATAAAGAACGGAGAAATTTGACCGAGCTATTGCATAGCGAGAGAGAGAAGAAGGACAACAAACTTCTTGAAATTTTTTATAAAGACTTGATTTAAAAAAAGATTATCCGTTCGATCCAATACAGTAGGTCCAATATCGACCTAATATTCGAATGTAGGATCGTAGGAGTCTTCAGGTATAGTGAGCGGAAGGGCTCGGGCTAGCAACACTATGGTCGGATCCGAGACAAAGCACAGATCAAGCCCTAGTCAAGTACCTAGCAAATTTAAATTGATATGCAATGACTGCACCATCAAGTGGCCCATTCGACACCAAGCCGAAGCCTGTTACACGCGGAACCCAGGCAGAAACGCAGCCCTTCCTCCCGCCCAACCGACTGAAGGGCGCAGCCGCATGACGCGCGACGCGTGTTACCGAACCGATCACGAGAATGCAGGAAAGATAGGTGTTGGACTAAAATTCGAGGAAAATTAGAGCTAAACACAACTCAAAGAGCTAAACATGCAAAGATAGCTACTGATTACGAGAAAGGTATGTTAATATTAGTGATTTAAGAAGAGGAAGGGAATTAGTAGTGGATATTATATGGTAAAGGGAATTGAAGTCCGAGCATCGGACCCTAAATGGTTCGTCCAAGGAATAATTCGATCTACAAAGCGGAAGGAACAAAGGAATGAAGTTGCTAGTAGATCTAATAGGAATCGTAAAGTTTACGCGGCTCAACAAGTCAGGGCTATCTACGTCACCCTTGATCAGGTTGTACATAAAAATCACACCAAGCATTTTTCTACGACTAACTAAGGTTGGAAGGTTTATTAAAAGCAATCTACGAGGGTAAGATGGCAGTCTCACACCTGCATCCCAGTTAAGGCCACGCAGAGCAAAAAGTAAAAAGTTTTTCTGGACTGATTCTATACGGTCCTGCGAGATATAGAGAGTCTTCGTTATATAGGGGTCGTCAAATTCCTTTGACCACCCCTTTATAAACCCAATCACGCTCATGTCTTTATTTGCCATGTGGTTGTGTAAGTCCTAATGAAGGACAACTATTCTTTTGCCGTTAGGCACGAGTGTATGGTTGGATGGTAGACACGGAACCGGACAGACCGACAGAGAAACTGGTACGCTGATGCGACTTCAGAATATGAGTGTATGTATTTTGGCAGCGTCGCCCTCTTCATGAGCGGCCGCAGCTGGCATAAGTTTCGTTCGTATAAAAGACTAGATTTAACATTTCAAGCGCCTTAACATAAATTCAAGTACATTTCAATTGCTAGGATCTTAACATTTAAAAAAAGGCGAGTGATTTGCATCAACATCGTCCGCGTTGACAGCCTATAGGCTTCAATCTGTTGGAATCGGCGCCAATCGATGGATGGACCGCTTATAAATTCCGGCCTTAGTCCTCACTATGGCCACGCGAACCTTCCCGTCGGTTCCTGGGATTGCCTCCTCCACTACTCCTATGAGCCACATTTCAGGGGGCACGTTGTCCTCGTGGATTGCCACCACTCTGCCTGGCTCCAGATTGGCAACCTCCTTGGACCACTTCCCTCGCTGCTGAAGGCTGAGAAGATAGTCTACGGACCAATCTTTCCAAAATTTTTGCTTGATGGCAGACACGAGCTGCCATCGTTGCAGATACGAATACAGCTTGACAAGGGGCCCACGATGTCCAACAAATCTGGATAAACACAATATAAAGGTATTAGAAGTCAAGTCTTTTACAATATCTAGGTGTACAGCCTAAGGTGCGAAGCAGACGAACACTGCTATGTACATTTTGAAAGGCTGCTTGCCTCGAATGCCACGCGATACAAGGACAGGTCCAAACAAATCCACTCCACTAATCTCAAAAGGTCGATTCCCCCGCAATCGATCTGCTGTTTCCCATGATTTGCGAGAGAAGCTTCGGCTTGTAGTGGAAGCAGTGCACGCATTTCCGGATAATGGCACTGAACTGTCTTCGTGCATTTAGAATCCAAATGGATTTTCTTAGGAATCCCACTAGTGCACGGGGTCCTGCGTGACAATTGGCTCGATGTAAATAGCTAAGATAGAGTTTAACAAATCTGCAATTTTTTGGCATTAACAAAGTAAATTTTGCATTATGGGCTATGGGGTCTGAATTTGTCCGTCTCCACATAATTAATTGGAATTTTCGCTGCGCCTCGTCAACTCGGATTTGACGGTAAATTTTTGTAATGTCTGCTAGTGTTAATAAAAGATTTTTCACACATAGTTTCTTCGGGGG